CCCTGGAATGCTGCAGTCAGCTTCCATCTGGTCTGCCGTGGTGTAGCAGCTCGGGCCAGAAACGCAGCATCAGCTAAACCCGTACAGTTGAAGGAATGTTGAACGTTTCTGGGAAATAAGGGTGCATTTCAAGGCGACGCCATCTTATTGAGTGCAAGCAGCTGAGCTTGCACCGTTTCCAACGCGAGGGGCCCCTAGACGCTCGTCACGTTTCTTGTCCGGACAGTAGCTTCTCAAACACTCCTTGGGGCGGCCTTGCTGGTTAGAACCTTTTCACAACTTTTGAAGCTCTTTCTGGGGCTGCGCTGTAACCTCGCACCTAGAAGAAAGGCCTTCGCAACAACTGCAGTAAAAGTTTTGCTGACAACAGGGGATGGCTTTATGGTGCGTGCAGACGTCCAGTGTCGCAGTAATTCATGTGCCCCACATCAATATGCCGATATGGAGTAACAATACAATGACGGCAAGTTTTAGATTATCAACTAAAGATAGTTGATGTCTAGGACTCAACCGGCAAGCACTTTGCTGAACCGAAGCTGCTCCTCGAATAGCAGTTTGTTGAACCGAACCTGCTCTTCGAATACCGGAAGTCGCATGCTAATCCTCGGCCTCCCAATCCCTTCAGGATCAGCTTAGTCTGGCACTTCAGGGAGGACCATCGTCAGCAGACCTCCTCTTCTGTATATAGCCAATTTCACCGTCAAACCGATTCCTAATGTTTCGCCTGACGTTGTAGGTGAACAGTGAGTTAGCCAAGGCATTCAACTAGTTGCAGATTGTCGCTTACAACTTACTTCGTAAAAGCTCCCGGCTGTTGCGCGTAGCATTAAGGATTCTGTCTACTGAAGCTACAGAACGCGCGCTCTGCTCCGACCGACGCTGTTTTGCGCTGACCACGAACAACGCGTAAAATATCGCATGGCTATCTGGCTTCCCTGCTTGCACCAAGCTCTGAATTCGGTGCGTGCACTTCTGTTTGCGTCAAGGCCGGCTATTGAAGGTTGCGTGAGCGTTTAATCTTTTTTTTCTAGCGCCAGCTCATATATTGAGGGGAGGGTGAGTAGAATCACATATGGCTTTGCTGTCGCAACACGTGCTTCACCAAGGAACGGTGCACAGCAACAAATGCCGCTTACACTCCGAAATAGCCCCAGGCCTTGTTGCGCCGCTGTTCTAACGACTCGTGGAGACCGGGGGGGAGGCTCAGCGGCCTTTCCAACTCTGCGAGTTCCACCTGTTCGTCGCTGTAACTCCCTCTCCGCAACCTAGCCGGTTACTGGTTGCCTCTCTCCAGCCAACAACTTTGCAGTGAAGCATTGATAAACTAGCTCCGATACCTTCGTAGGATTTCTATTAAGGATGGATTGGTTCTTCTCAATTCCAACCCGCCTTCTCTACGTTCCCCTGTTGAAGTATTAGCGTGTAGGATTCTCTCACAGCGGGTTCCTCTGCCGACATGGAAACGAAGCTGCATCGTAGCGTGTTTCTGAATAGTTCGGATGTGCTCCGAAAGGGAAGTTCATCGTTGCTTAGGTGCAGCGACAAACAAGGAGCAAGGAATTACTACCCCCGTATTACGGAACTCACCATGCTTAGACGGTCATCACATGCTAAGCACCTGTTAGTTTCAGAAGTATTCTTCAAGAGTTAGTTCAACGGCAAAAACTTTGTCCGCTAGATGGGCGGCGGATACTGCGTTCTTTCCAATGCGTTGATCACCTCTCCGCCGGAGGGTAGATCCTGAAAGTGTCCGGATAACGGAGAGCTGAAGAGAACGAAAGTTTACCTCAGCAGACTAGAACTACTCTCTTCTTCTCACAGCGCAAGTGCCAGAACATAATTATGCTATACTTGAAGCTATGTTGCTCGGTGGATGGGGCTGGCTGCCTCCCTTAACCACGCAGTGCTACGGAGTGTACCAAATGTCGTCGAGAATATCCGAAGATCGTTACGATCTGCAGTAGAAGCACTGCGACTTAACATCATGACGCCGGCGGCAACACCGGCGGAGGCGCCCATAATGAGTTGGAGAGCTCTCTGCCCGAACTCCTGCCGTACGGAAACCCCACACGAACGCATACCAACGGACTCCTTCAACGCATTCTTAAACGCTGTAGAGGCCTTTTAAACAATTGTAAACAATTACACGACAATCAAGAGACAACATAGACGCAAATATCGAGATTTACACTAACAGCTGACAGCGCCCGCTCCACCGACCCTACGTGGCGAAGCACGCCCCTGCGGTCCCTGCGACCGCTGCATAACTAGCTACATACTTGTGCAACATTGTGACCAAACACATCAAAACAAGCTATATTCCTCTCCAGAAGAACGATCTTTCGAGGTAATACGCTTCTGGTGTGGGTGTGGCAGCATCTGCAGGATGGAGCAAGCACACTACTCCATGATCTATGGCGTGGAACGCCTTGCTCGTTAATGCCTCGGCTTGTAACATGCGAGGAGACTCTTGAAGAACTCCGCCACCGGTCTAAATTCATTTGCTAAAAGAAGCATGCATTTGGCTCTTCACGTCGCGGACCAGTGCATGCCTCTGTTGGGCAGCCCCGTGGTTCACTGCGGCAGAGCACAATTGTCTTCTTGTACAGGTAGTTTCCAAAGTTGGATTTAGGATACACCAATGAAAATTGAGTACAAAAAACGTGATTTTTTGTTTTTGGCTATGATGACACGCCCACAGGCACCCGCGGCTTGAGGCTGATTACGCCATACGCCTGCTCACGGGTGTGCGGGCTCCAAACCGATTCAAGCACGATGAATTGGTCTTCGCAAATTCTCCCTCGCCTAAACTAGGTTACGTGTGTGCCTGGGAGTTACTTCTTTAGATGGCTCCTCCTGCGTGTAGACCCCTTTACATTCGGGGTTCTCGGTTCAGTTGCTGGCTGGGGTCACCGAGCTTGATAATCTGCGGGTCGCTTCTGGGTCTTCTGTCTTTCCAATGCTCAAGAGGATGGAACAACTTCACAAGTCCATTCTTTTTTGTGCACTGATGTAACGAAGGAGGCAAATTCCTGCAAACATTCTTGTATATTACCCGGTGCCGCGTGTTCAGCAGGCGACGGAAGACGAGTTACATCTAGTAATACGCCTGGGGTCACTCACATGCAACCTTGTCCACCGACTGGCAATATTTATCCTTAGACATGTTTTGAATAGAAAACCCGTGAGTATTACCTCAAAGCCACTAGGAAAATTGCTGCACGACTCCAACAGGGAGGAATTTACGAAGTTCACTGCTGAGGTTCCCTTTACTCCAAACTGCGGCTGACTTACGTCACCAACAGTAGATCGAGGAGCGTTGCGTTTTGCGATGGATCTTTGTAGAATTTGATAGGAATACACAGTGGCGGCAGTGTTTACATCGAAGCTCACAACTACAAACAGCGCGCCTCTTAAGCATTGGGGAACTGCGAAGGGGTGGAGCAGGTATAGCGCATGTAGAGCATGCGTATCTTTTCAAAACCACTAGACGAAACGGTTTCTTGCGGGGCAGCCTAGTATTGCTGTTTACTGACATGAGGAATGAGACAGAGAACACAGTAGCTCTTGCACGCGTTCCCTGAGGGAAAATGAATTTATTCACAGGGGGGATTGGCACATCAGTGGAAGTAATGTAAGCGCTCTTCTAGTGTTCCTGAGCGACCGCACACACCTAGAAATATTGATTAAACTAGGGGACGGCAACCAAGTGCATTTTCCCTGCGGACTAGGGAAACATTGCCCTGTCTCTCAAAAGGTTTTCCGGCCTGGCGACACACGTCACTTTGGTTGCCAATATTTACCCTCCTAAGAGGATGTCACATTCCGTGGGGACTACTTCCGGAGGGAAGTCATCGTTTATCCCACGCCTCTCCTGGCCTAGTGATACAACAACAACAAAAAACTTGACCGCATCGGCGTCTACGCGAGATGAAGCGAGGACGGTCATTAGACCTCAACTATTGGGGAAGCTTTGGGCAAGTTCTGCATCGCAGACGAGTTTAGGAAAGAGCAGCTCTCTGGGAACATTTGATTGCGCGCCAAGTCGGATGACGTTATCTTCCCTATTTCACTCTTCTTTGCCTCTAGGCCAGTCAAAGCAGGCTGTGCAACCAGCTTCGACCCAGCGAACTCCTTCTCCAGTGGTGTCACTTCAGGGGATATCCCGAAGGCAAGAATACAGTTTCCAGGAGCCGCAGCCTTCCGCACATGTGTGTGGATTTCAAGCGAAACAGCAGGTTGGCGTTGACGGCGACGAGCCAAGCTACGCCGCCCCACGCAAGTTCAAAGTGCGCGCTGCGCCAGTTGACTTTGCAGAGGGCAGATCTCCATCAGCATCAGTGCACTTCCGGGTTGCTTCCAATTGTATCGAGGCTCCATTTCGTAGCAGTATGATGGGGATTGCACGCAACACTAGCCGCGGCAGAAAACCTGCTGCTGATCCGCCTATCTCAACTGCATCGCCACGTAGTAACTGTCTTAACCAAGCTTTTTCTGCGTCGGGAGAGCCTGCACCACTGCGCCTATCGCTAATTCTGCCGAAGTCGCAGCAACATCAACAACCCTGCGTTCGCCGATGCAGTGTATCTGACAGGAGAAATGGAAGGAATGAATCCACGAACCGTCTGCGCTCGTCATTTATACAATATGAACGCCCAACTGGGGAGGTGGCACCACCAAAAGCTCAAGCTGCACATCGGAAAGGCTCTCAGCGAGGTCTAGGGCTAAAACACAGTCTCGTTCCTCAGAATAAACATCAGGAGATTTCGAAGACTGCGCATAGAGCGGCCGAGAGTCACTTGTCTCACGGCGGGTGCATAGCAAGCCTTCACTCCTGCAGCGATAACATCACACCACAATTATTAGAGAAATCTAATATCAGGTGTCTTCTAAAAGGCGAGAAAAGTGCGGTGACACAGGCAAATGTTGCAACGAATGGTCAAGCAGCCTTAGCCGGAGGTGGCGCACGTCTGAGGGTACAAAAGCACAAAGGAAAAACGATGGCTACTGCCAAGCACTCCCCAGTTGTAGCAACCGGATCAGCGGAAGCAGACTTCCATTCACCACTAGTGGCTGAGTGCAGCTTGCTGCAAAGTTCAGATTGTAGTTCACATGTGCCGTGCTTGCTGGGGGAAGTACCTTCTTCGCCCTCAAGGGAACGCCAGCCAAGCCTGGAACCGAAGCCCCTACCGACACCTCCTGTATCAAGTGTTCAGGAAAAAGTGGAGGCAGGGGGACACTCCGAAAGGGAGACAGCAACAACGGCAGCTGCAACACCCCCCGTCAGCCACGCTGGGGTTCCTCCTATTGCAGAAAAAGTCAGAAAAACGGAAACTCATCCTGGGCGAAGCATCAGTAATACATCTGGAAGAGTTGAGCCTAACGTAGTCGCAAGCTCTCAAAAGCGAGTACAACCGCCTCAAACCCCAGGATTTGTGGGCAAAGTTTATCAAAATTGTAGAGAACCTACAAGCGAGTACGAAGACGTCGAAGAGAATACAGAGGCGCTCGCACTGCTGCGCCATAGCGAGGTGTCCTTTGTATGCGTTAGGGCGCTTGTCTCCTTCTTGGCTAGTTGTTGCACCGTCAGTCACTTTGGAAGCGATGAGCGGCTACAACAGGCAAACGACCTTTCTACCTCACCATTCCACTGCTCATCCAGGCCGCACATTGGACTCGAGGAATACTTGGTGAAGCGGATTTTTCGGCATGGCAAACAAACCATAAACGAAGGAGTGATGGCTGTTGCTCTCCTCAGCCGGTTCCTTTGCAAGCAAAACGCGTTGCTTTCTGCTGCACTGCGCGAAAACAGTCACCAGCAGCGCCTGCAACAACACTTGGATAGTTGTAGCAGGGATGCAACAGTTCGTGACAAGGATGCGAGGCATGGGTCGGCAATAGCCAGAGCTACTTCAGCCACCGAGGGCTTTTCAGCAACAGCGGCTCGCATTGGATACATAGAGTTCAACTACTTGACTGCCCATCGGCTGCTCTTGACTGCAGCATTCTTGGCAAGGAAAACACACAGGGACGACCACACAAGCATAAGGCACTGGGCTCAGGTACGAACAAAATAGAGAAAAGTGCCGCAGGGACTTCAGGAGGCTTGCAAACAGTTGATTGCTAGCAGTCACTTTTGACACAGATAAACACGAAAGTAGCGACACGGCATATCGACAAATTCGTCTTTCTCTCGCACTGCAATAGCACAACAGCTTTTGTATTCGGCCGACGCAACAAATGCCAAATGCAGAGTATGCCCACCACTGCTGTACCGTTAATTGACGGTCCGCCGAAAGAAAACGTTTGCACCCTTAAATTCATGGGGTAGTGGACTAACAACGAGCAATTGAACTCGTCTGAATTTATTTTGGACCTTTTGCCTGTACAAGAGCTGTACGTGTCGCTTGCTGACAGCTCGGCGGGGTTCCAGTCGAAGATCTGGTAGAGGCAGAGTCCGCATTCGTGCAAGTTGTCGAATGGTAACATCCCCTGTTAGTTCTGCAGAGCTTATAGAACTAACTTCATCCGGCAGGCAATGCATTAAGTTGTCTCTAATTCAAAACAGTATAGAGAAACGGCTTTGCTGTGGGATCGGACATGCCGAGTAAGGCTTGCACGCTTTTTTTGCTCGTTGTCCAAATGTTTCAGGCGGGTCCAGGTGACACTCGACGAGTTCTTCAGCGTAAGGACTGTTCCCAGAACTCAGCACACTCGCGAACAATTCATTAACAATGCAGATGCAAGGTGAAGTGCAAGTTTTTGACTCGCAGGTAGCTTAACTTTTCTTAACTGCATGCGCGCAGACAGCCTTGGCGATTTCACTTGGCGACCCGCGCCTTCTAGCGAAGCAGGGAGAGCTACAGCCTGTGCGGGGGAATCCTGCTACAACGGCGGTGTATGTTCGTGAACATGCGTTGTTACTGCAACAACAAGCTGATCTGACAACGCCTACAACGCTTCGAGGTCTCCAAGCACAGGAGCAGCTTCATCAGAAGACTGCTCTTGACAAAATGCAACTGCAGCAAACCGAAGAAGTTCTCACCTGCTGTATGTGCTTCTCATGCTGCATGCTGCAGCCTGGGCAGGTTAAGCAGAGGAACGTTGGGTTGCCGTTTGCAGATGTAGCTCCTCCTGAAGGGCTCGCATCCTCGCAAGTTGAGAACGATGTGCTGAACAAAAGCGAGCCAATTGGTTTTCCTCTTTCATCTACTTCGAAGCAATTTCGGGAAACAGCACGCTATAGCCTCAAGACAGGAAGCAAAGTTGGTCCGCTAGATCTGCCTCAGTCACCAAGTGGAGATGAGAATCTAAGTACAACAGACGCAACACAAGCGCCTACCATGTGGAAACTCAGTAGAGCTTTGAATCAGCATGAATGTACCGCTAGGAGCACTGCCTGTGCAGCAGATGATTGCAGCCATTCCCCTAGCGCTTCAGTAAAGCCGCACGACACCAGCAGCTGCGTCCTGCAGGAAGATATTCTTCAAAGTAAAGGTCGGCGTCATTTTAAGGCGTACCCCCTTCGCACTTTTAAAAAAGAAGAAACGAAAGTTCCAGCCGCCCATACAAATCTTCGGGCGGGTCTAGCTCCAACTCAGTGAATATTTTTTCCTCGAAGACCTGTTCCATGTACATATGTTTTTTGCATTTACAGTACGGAAGAGGACGAAATAAGTGCGCGCATGAACCATTTGTTCAGCGCAGAGAGATACATTAATAATGGGAAACCTGCCGGATGATTCAGAGCACCCTACATTATTCATCACGGAGGTGCGTGACGCCGATGTGATGAATAACTTACATAGAGGCATAGGGTATACTGCGCTGTGCGAGAAATGTCGTTATTTCTCAATTCGTGGCCAATTCGATCGCAGTGGTTATCTCAATATGTTAGCTGCGTGCTTCTCTGGTAAGGAAGGTTGCGCCACGTTCGAAATGCGAACTTGTATGCTTTCATTGCCAAATAATTACGGGAACGAAGTGAACAGAACCGTATGTATTGAGTGATTAGATCAATGCTATCTATATCTCTGTTGTTTCCTCTAAAACACAAGGATACTTGGGTCACTTACTGCGGCGCCGGTTGATGCACAGCAACGTGCATTCTTATCCCTGCAAGAGCATTCAAAGTACCCGTGGTGAACTAGAGACTGCGCACCGTGTTGAGCCACCCAAAACTTCTCGTTCACAACGGGAGAGGGTCGCCACTTGCGGTATTCTGAGATACAGTATCCATGTCACCAGTGTGAAAGCCGCTCTGCGCAATCTCTGTAGTCTTCAGAGGAAGAACTGAAGAGAAAGCTTGTCACTGTTTATGGAGATGAAGAGCCACTCAATTAAGAAAGCTCAGCAGTTTCCTTGGCTGCTGAGATGCCCGTCCCCGGGGCCGAAGTGCTTTGCGAGGTTAGCCATCCCAGTTTTGGATGGCTTCACATAATGTCGACCAGAACAGAATTCCAGTTGATGGGCGCAATATATACACTTAACTCAAGAGTAGTAGAATGCCAGTTGGCCTGTGCACTGAGCGTTTGGAATACCTGCCGCTCGGATGTGTTTCGGCTTCCGTTACGAATAGAGCTCCGTCTCTACCGTCCTGATTAGATAATGCAGTCTGCCTGGAACGAATCAAATAAGACCCTACTTTGAAGCCTTCAAAAAAGCATCGTTTCCGGAGGTTAGAGGTCTAATATAACTTTCTTAGGTGCCGAGTATGGCAAAATAAAATACCTTATCGCGAAAAGGTAGAGTTTTATCCAGAAGAAGCGAGAGAACCGCAAATCTTCAGCAGCTCCTCCCCTTCGGGATGCCTCGAGAGCCCTTCCTGACCACCCGTTCTGTAACTTGACACCAGAGCATGCATTGTGTGAAGAGTTGAATCCTCGTTTGACTCTGTCCAAACGCTATGCAGCTGAGCATATAAGGGTTTTACAAAATACTTCCTTTACCTAATAACATCAGTAGGTTTCCTGCTGATTGCACATTTTAACCGTGAAGTAGACATTTGCCGCTCTTAATTCCCTGCTAGCCTTGCCTACTCTCCGCAGCACTATCTGTTGAGGGTAGCACGGCCCTAAACCGACTCACATCCGAGCCAGTGAGCAGGGGAGGGCCTGTTGCATTCGGTAACTGCAGAAGTTCACGGATCTCCACTTCTTTGTTCGCCGAGTACTGCTCATGCTCGCACCATGAGATTTCCCCTTCCTTGTCTAAAAGAAAGATGTAAACCCGCTGAGCGTCCGCCAGCTGAAGTGCATCCACAAATGCGCTCTTATCTGTGAAGCACACTAGAGTGCGAGATCGGACTTCTTGCAGTCTTGACAGACGAATTTCCTCAGGTGTTTGGCCTGAGAAGGAACTTTCTGGCGACTCAACCTTGCTACATGCATTTTGCTCAACAGCAGCATCTAGACCTCCTCTTTCAGCACCCAAATGTGTCCTTTCGACGTTCTGGACGATCTTCTCTGCTGTAGGCGTGCTTGGATCGGAATCCCCGGTGCCTACTGCGAAACGGAGTCTCTCGTCTGTCCACCAACGGAGCAACACGCCCGCACGGTGCCTGCACACCAAGCCACGCGCACGCAGTTAAATTCTGCAGCTAAAACATCACTCGCAGAGAGGTGGCACCATCTGTATGTGCCAGCAATAAGTGCTGGACAGAGATATCCTGCTCACCTTACGACCAGCCTGTATGACTGAACCTGTGAGATATCAAGGCTGTGCTTATCCACAATTTCCCTCTTTATCTTGTTTGTAAAGGGTATCCAAGAATTCATATCATCATAGTGAGCAGCCTTGAATCCCACAACTAGAACGTTGAGTTGGCCCTGAAGGTCCTGTGGAACCCTCACCGTTCTACCCAGTAGGTTGTGGCATGTCAGCGTCGGAAACCGCCTAAAAGTAATCGGAACGACCCGCCCAAAATGCATGTGCGACATTTCTCTCTGGGGCTCATCACAGCAGAGCACACCGAAACTCCAGGCGAACCGAGATCTGTTGCTGAAACCACTGCTGGACGCGGCTTTCCTGCCACCCCCGTATGGCCTCCACGCACTAATGAGTCGAACACTGCAGGGTATGATGTGCTGAGTGAAGCTCCGCTAAAGATTAGCCAGGGAAGAACCGGCATGTGGGCACGGGGGGCGGCTGAAGGTCGAGAGCCGAGGGACCGGACCAAAAATTGGCAAATTCGCGGCAGCTAAAGTTTGGTCATTTCGTCCATAGATGCTGTATTATAGAGGAATTCTCCACAATAATTGGGTTTTGCAGGCACCGAGAACTGGCGTTCCTTCCTGGTTCTTGCGGCAACTATGCTGAAGGCCTCCGGGCATGCCATGGCGCTTGCCAGCTATGAGCCCGGGGTCTCCCCCACAAATCTTGCGTAGAAATGTTGCATCTATTCCATATACTGATTAACAAAGCTAGCTGGTGCTTATTTGATTCACAGACAACGCGAAGACACCAAGGCAGAAGGGCTGGTTGTTGACTGGGGCACTGATGAACACTCGCCACTGCTATCGAGTTCTCTCCACGCGTTCTGCAGGAGTTACCCGGACTACAACCTTGCAAGGATAACAGGAAGCTCCCCTTGCAATGAGACTGTGAACCCAGATTCCGGGTGACTGGTTCCAGTGTAGTTCAACTGCACAAAGTGCCGGAGGTTGAGTATCCATAACTGGCATGCGGTGGTGGGTTTGGCTACTCCTCGGACTTTCACAGGCTTTCCTCATTGCGGGGGCCTCTTTCCTTTTACCTCACCAGCTGCTGAAACGGAGCCAGTATTCATGGGGGGCATTTGGAGGTCCGCGGGGGCGGTACGCCTTGAGGGAGGCCACTCCCTCATTCAAGCAAGCAATAATATGCGATATTAACAACAGAAGAGACAACAGACACGACAGACGGGGTATTGGAATAGCTGTTTCCAAGAGGCCTTCATGCATTTCGTTTGTCTCATTGAGAAATTTGGATTCCTTAACTGATATTGCTGCAACCCAGCACTTCCTCAAGGGATATAATCATGGACACAATAGTCAAGACGCTAGCTCGGACGTAACCAAGCGCTGCCCTAGCTTACCTGCCTCTCACGCCAGCAAGAATCCGCTTTTTACCAATCCGACTCGAAGATACTCCAGCGCTGACGATGTTGGTCGAAGCAGTCAAGAGGTTCCCTCACAGTGTGCCCCTACAGACAGCTTGTTGCCGCCTCGAGGTTTCCGCGATTTCCCGCCGGATGTGCTTGCTATTCATAAGCACATATTTTCCTGCTGGCACGAAGTGGCCTCTGAATTTGGCTTCATGGAGTACAAAGGTCCCTCAGTGGAGAGATATTCGCTTTATTCCCCTTTCTGCCGTTCCCTGCCCCCTTCTGCTCCATCCCCGCGAACTGCGACCTCATCGGATTCAGGCTTCGCTTCTCCAGCAGTGTCGATCCCTCCGCACATTTACCTTCTGCAGGTTGACGGTCCCGAGTCTCTCTGCCTTCGCCCCGAGCTCACGCCCTCTTTAAGTCGTATGCTTCAGAGAGAACAGCATCAGCATCCTTCTGGGATAGCTCGACGTTGGTATTCAATAGAGAGAGTTTGGCGCCACGAGAAACCCGGTTGTGGTCGCCGGCGAGAGCATTTTCAGTGGAATCTTGACATAGCGCTTCCCTCTCTTCCTACCAGGAACACCTTCACGGCTCCTGACACTGCAGACGCAGCGCAGCAGACGCAAGGAAGACAGAATAACCAGAAGCGGCAAAATATGGGGTCGCCAGCCACCGGGTTCTCCTCCTTTGCAGCAGCGGAGCTAATAGCGGCTGCTGTCCGCTTGTTTCAAAAGCTAGGCCTTTCCTCGAGGGATGTGCGAATTCGCGTCGGAAGCCGAAGCCTGCTAAGAGATCTCTTGTGGACAGAAGAAGAGTTGAGGAGTCCAGAGACGAGTGTTCCGCTTTCTTCTACTGCGAAAGAGGACCGAACACCCGACAACGGGACTCTGCTTTCCGGCACCACGCCGCACTTTTTCTCAACGCACGATGAATGCATCTTCCGACAAAGACTCACAACTGCAATGCAGATCCTAGATCGAGCCTCCAGGCAAAGCCGAGAGGAGACAGAAATTGCACTGGCGAATGGACTAGGCATAACCGTTGAAAAGTCCCACCGCATTCTTCAGCGACTTATCTCGTTTGACGTAAACAATGAATCTATGGTACGTGAATTGGGTAGAAAGCTGCAGCGACTGGGCAAAGGCGATGGCACGCAACAAGGAGATGGCAGTAGGCTAGACCATACGGGAAGCGAGAGGCCTTCAGACGGCACAGGCGTGCTTTCCAGTTGGCTTCCCACGTCAGTGAAGGATCTGCAGTCCGTACTTCATCTTCTGAGAGAAGGGTACGGAATAGGAGACTGGGTGGATGTGGATCTTCTGATTGTGCGGGGCCTGCACTACTATACGGGCGTCGTATTTGAAGCTTTTGATTCTGAGGGTGTGTTCAGAGCTATATTAGGGGGGGGATGCTACGGTGAGCCAGGGGCATCCGTGGCTGTGATGGAGACAACAGCCGAAGGGCCTTCGGTTTCCACAGAAAGTCCCGAAGTACCAACGATGCATCTAAAGCCACACAAGTCTAGTAACCGACGAAATATGAGGTCTGGAGTCAGTGGAGTCGGCTTAGGTATGGGGGACTGCGTCCTGATTGAGCTACTGCAACGAAAGGGTCTTCTGCCAATCCCTGGATCCACGATTGATATTATTGTGGCACCTCGTCAAAATTCTGCAGCTCAAGATCCTCCTCGAGAAGTTCCGGCTGTCTCTCCCAGCGGCGCATCAAATGGCAACCAGAGACTTCCTGTCATGGACGAGTCGAGAGATAAGCTGCGCTATTCAACGCCTTCAGCAACAAGCGTTTCAAATTGGCACTCTGTCGCGGCAGAGCAGCTCTGCTGCAAGTTGCGAGCCCTTGGTCTTCGAGTGGAGTTACTGCTGCCTCCGCACAGGTCTGAACGAGCCGCCATCAAGCACGCTAGGTCCGTGGGGGCAAAGGCCGTCATATTTGTTGCACCACGTGTGCAGCTTCAAGTGCTCGAGGTAGACGCAAGCATTCCTGACAGTGCAGCCGAAGTTCCGCCTTCCCTATTTTCAGGAGCAAAAGAGATGAGGAACCCCACTGAATTTAAGGTTCTTCTTATTCCGGAGGAGAACCAGAACTCGACGCCTCTTTCGAAGCAGCAACAGAAAAGTCAGCCGGGGGATCTTCATCCCATCCGCTGTACATCCGGCAGTTTGAAACACGCAGGAACCTTGACCACAATTCCCTCCGTCGTCGAGATGCTTGAGGCTAATCTTCGCCTCTCCTCTCAAGACAGGCAGCCCTGAACTTCTGGGGTCGCTTGCGAGTTGCTGATAACGTAAAACCAATACCGCACAGGGAGGACCGATGTCTGAGATGTCTTCTATACCCAACCAGTTAGCAAACAGCCCGCTAGTGCAGCGGCTCACGACCAAATTTGTTTTTGAAGCTTATACTTTAAGTGTCAAGGCTCAAGTCTCAGGGCCAAGCGGACGTACATACCAGTAGTCTCTGCAGATCAGCCGGTTTTCCCTATGAAAGGTGCTGCCGTGCTTTGCGCATAGCGGTAGTTGTTAAACTATGCTCTAATTGTCAAGCACCCGCTACTGTACCTCGGTGCATCGAGGCAAATCGTAGTCTAGCAAGAACCAGCGCGAACTAGTGTACGTTTCTTCGCTGTTCACACCAATGAGCGACTAGCTAAACTGTGATACCAACAGACCAGCTCTCTCGGGGCAAAAGCATTAAAAAATGCAGAAAGTTTCTTGTAAGTTGAAGCCGTCTTGCCGACGTTCTTCGCAGCGTAGTATCACGAGGTACTAGCCGTACAGTATGTCGTAGCAAGCAACTGAAGCGCGGGCTGAATCTCCCCTGCAACTATAGAATGGCCAACGAACGAAATGTGGACGCGCTGTCAGCCCTCTCCCCTCACCAGATCCTCAGAGAAAGGTTCCTATACGGTCAGCCATAAGGCACAATCTCCGCTGCAAATGGCAGAGACTACCCCTGAAAGTCGCTGAGAGGTCGACTCTGTGGCAATACGCAGCGATGGTTCCATTTGTATTCTACACGCAGCTTTGCACAGAAGTTAAGAATATTGATGGCTCGTCAGAGAATACAAACTGTAGGTGCATCACTGTCCCTGAGGATCAGTTGA